GATGCATCCATAAACCCTGTCTCCTTCTGTAATTACATAACAAACTGTCAGATGATTTCTTTGGATCACCGGGCTTTTGTCTTACTGTACGGGGAAATGTTTAGGCCACAGCTTTGGCGGCGTTTGCACTGAAAGCGATGAATCATGAAGGCACTATAGAGGCTCTCACCCTATGGCAGTCTCCACCTGCTGGACACAGTCATGCCAGACCCCACCTCTTCTGCTTCTCCTGCTGTTTGTCGTGACATCATCTCTGGGCAGCCCCTAAGAGCCTGTTACGGTTTCTCCTCTAAGCAGCAGCCTAGCAGACCCCTACCCATAATCCCTCAGGAACAAAGAGGCAAAACCATATCATACATGTTGATATGGTTTTTCAGCTCCCTTCAATCCTGACCAGCATAAGCTGCTGAAAGATGGATGGATGGATGGATGGATGGTGGATACATTAATGGATGCACTTCAATCTAAAATGGAAGGCCAGGAGATTAGAACTATAGAATTAGCTCAACCTCCAGAGAATGTTAAAATAATTTAAATTGACTTGATCACTCTGGATTATGGGTTAAAAGAATGTATCCACAGCACAATGCACTTGCAGTGTAAAATCATTGCACTGGACTGCCTGATTCCACATAAAAAATAAATTTTCTAAATGTAACTGGCAGTGACCACAACCCTATAATTTTAAACAATAATGTCGTATGCCAAGCTATGTGAGATACTTGGTTTCGCTTGTTTTGATGACTTGCCAATTTTGAAAAGAATTAATCAAAATAATGTTTAACTATGCTTCATGCATTAATTGATAAAATGAGGGAACAATTTTCCTTTAGCTTCATTGCTATATACATTATGTCCATCCATCCATCCATCCATCCATCCACAGCAACACTATAGTGAAAACCAATGTACATATCATACTGCATGATACAAATCTGCTGTTAAGTCTGTCTAGGACATGGTTCTTATTGATATATATTGGCCTTGAGGTCAATACATTGTTCAGAATGCTATATAAATGTAAATAATTTAAATATAGATTTAACTGAATATGAGGTCACAATTGGTGCTTTACCACTGACAGAGAACCGGTTCCATTCCTGTTTGCGAACCTTTGAAAGGTTCTGCATGTTTCCACAGAAATAGAAACAGGCTCCAAACCAAAAAATCAATTTGCATTGAGAACCAAGAAATAGTTGAGTCCTGAAAGGAAACCTTGAAGACATCATGACTGGGCATCTACAGACGCAACACAAACATGGAGGCAATGGTGGAAAATTTACTCAACTTTCTTACTTGAGTAAAAGTACAGATACCACACCTCTTATAAGTGGTGGTCAACCTGACAAAATCCCTTGTCATCCGCTACATAAAATGATGGTCCAATGTAATCATCTCCATTATTTTAATGGTTGTGTCTTCAGCTCTGGTGCTGCTAACTTTGAACATTGATAGACTTCATACCTAAATATCGACCAGCATTGGTATGTTAACGAATATACCATACATATCAATATATTGTTTGTTCCATCTTCATAAAGACAATGCGTATATGATAAATAATAATAATAAGATGAGAAAAATATATTTTTGAGAGAAAATAGCCGTCACACCCTGCTCCTCCGATTCTCCTGTGTGCCACGCCCCCCTCGTTAACCTCGTGTGAAATCCAGTAGAGTCTTCGCTTATCCGATATTTCGTATTATCCGACGTCCCAGCGTGAGCATAGTCTATTTTTTTGTTGCTTCGGACTCTACCGCAGCTAATTAGTTACCCTGACTGTACAGTGGCGCCCGTCTACACTATGACTCATGTGTCTGTCATTTGCCCCATCCTCACTCATTCACTGTCACAACTCACTACTCAGTATTTAACTTCAGACAATTCTGTAACTGTAAGCTAATTTTTTCAGTTAATTTTTTTCTGTTGTTTTGTTGTAAAAAATGATTATTAGGTTTGTAATGTGTAAAATTATAACATACGCTGAACAAAAATATAAACGCAACACTTTCTGTTTTGCTCCCATTTTGCATGAGCTGAACTCAAAGATCTGAAACATTTTCTACATACACAAAAGACCCATTACTCTCAAATATTGCTCACAAATCTGTCTAAATCTGTGTAAGTGAGCACTTCTCCTTTGCCGAGATAATCCATCCCACCTCACAGGTGTGGCATATCAAGGTGCTGATTAGACAGCATGAATTTTGCACAGGTGTGCCTTAGACTGCCCACAATAAAAGGCCACTCTGAAATGTGCACAGTTTTGGGGGGGGTCAGAAGACCAGTCAGTATCTGATGTGTTCTGTTCATTAAACCCCGAGTTTTCCCCATATCCCAGACTCCCGTGCCTTCCTTCCCGCCGTGCGCTCAGCGAAATGTGACAATAGCGATCACTATTCTAAGTAAAAAAAAAAATTGTGATTCACATTTTACACATTTTGCAGCCTTACACTCAAGTCAAGCACATTGCAAATATTTTTTCTTTCTTAAAACAATGTGCAGAATGTATCAGAGTAATGTATCAGTTTTTGGCTAAGAAATGTAGCGAAACTAAAGTAATAGTTCCAACAACTTAAAATACTCATGTGATATGCAAATTCAAAAAAACCTACTTTGTTACTTTACAGCTCTGCACGGAGGTGAAAGTAAACACCTATTCAGCTACACCCAACACTGATGATGTGATGGTGCCTACTGCTGAAACAAAAATCGGTGGAAACACTGGCTGGTTCCAGATTGGGCACCTGGTTCCGAACTGAAGTGGTTCTCAGAGACACATATACCCCACACTATTACAGAGAGAACCACCAGTTAAGATGTTGGCAAATGATGAGCAAAGCGACAGTCTGAAACTCTTTATAATGACGGAAAAAATTAAGTGGCTCTGCTTTCTGAAAAGCTGAGAAATTATGCTTCGGTGTGAAGAACAGCCTCCAAATAAAAAGATGCATACAGTCAAATTGAAGCACTGGCAAGAGCGACAGCAGCGTCTAATCATTTCTTAAATCTTGCATTTTATTTTTTAAATCTTGCTTATTTCTGTTTCAGTTTCCCTATTATAATACCTCTGACAATGTACACCTGTATGTGCATATGTCCCCACAATTTGCAGCCTTACACTCAAGTCAAGCACATATACATACTGTATATATGACACACACACACACTGGGTACAGTTCACTATTCATAATGATGATTTACTGTAGGAGCTGTACAGTACTTATGGACTGTAATGTATAAATATAGCATCACACCTGCCTTTACTCGATCCTACAGACAAAACCACCAAGTTCACCATTAAAAATAATGATGAGCACTCATACATAACGAGTGAGTGTCGTGAACTCTGTGGGTGTGAATGTCTGTGTGTGTTCAGTAAGCATGTCCTCATATGTTCACGTGGGTAAACGTTTCCTGTGTGGTTTGGTGGGCCGTTTCTGTGATGGCCTACCCTCATGTCCAGGCTGCTCCTGTCTTTCATGGGGGAGGATCTAGGCAACCCTACACCAGACAAACAAGGATGGACAGGGGCGTACCTAGAAATTCTAGGCCCCCAAGCAACCCCTGCCCGGTTTTATATATTCTCCTACATATCAACTCCTCCCTGTAGAGTGCTGGGTCCCCTGAATCGGCCAGGATGTCCATGGTACTACTATGTCCCTGTTTATGGAAGATGGGTGATTTCCACATGCAGCTGCACATTCCTGTACATGCATTTAGAGCAGCGGCATCAGTAGTTGGTGAAGCGCCACTCACACATGCACACTGTGGCTCTGGCTCTGCCGTAAATAACTAGAGCACCTTTGAATCGTAGCTCATTACAGTACAGGAAGTTTGCAGGACGCAGAGGGGGGTGCTGCAGTGTTGGGGGGGGGGGGGGGGGGGGGGGGGGGGAGGGGGACAAGAGGATGCAGGTGAGTTCTGTAGAAAAACTCCACCTCTAAAGGACACAGGGCAGGAAGGACCATCATTAGCATTATTGATGCACATCAGCCATTTTAAATATCCCTCATTGGAGAAAATACTAACATTCTATAAAGTAAAGCTGGTGTTTGACTCCCCCGTCCCTGAGGACAATAATGCCAAGCCGCTGTAGAGGAAATGCAGCCAAGTTTGACTGTTATGGCCAGCGGGTGGTCAGCAGTAAGCTCTGGCAGATTGGACACAGGCTCACTACCTGAAGATCTCTGGCGCGCAGCTCACAGCGCTCTGGCAAGCAAGTGAAATGCAAACGGCCTGCTTCCCTAGTAACATTCAAAGTAAAGGTCAATTCCAGCACCCAGTCACAATATAAACCTTCCTGTCCAGCCATGTGGCCTTGAGCTTCGGCAGCAGATAAGGTGGAAGGAAGCACACTCGTCTCACCGATTCACAGAGTCAGGCCTGAGTGTGTTTTGCCATGGATTCAGGAGTGTCACTGTGCCCGTCTTTGTGCTGGGTTTTGCTCCTCAGGCGAGCCTTTGCCTGCAAACGGCTAATACAGTCCCAGTGTGCAGCCTCGTATCGACAGTCCTGCTAACGAAGCAGCCTGAAAGGCTCCTGTCAGCGAACACGCCGCCACTGATGGGCAGCCACATTAAAACGAATCCTCCCCCAAGTGCTAAAGACCCAGATTTATTCGGTAAATGCTGCAAAATATCACCCACCGAGACCATAAACCACATCACTCCAATTAAAATCCACCTCAAGGAAATGAATTGTAATTGTGATGCAAACAACAGATCAAAAAGAACTTCCTCAATTAAATATCAGTCAATAAATATCAATAAATCAATGCTAGTTATAAATTGCCATTCAAGAAAGCTGCATTGAATTAAATGAACACATTCTTTATTCATTGCAAAATTAAGAAAGTACGATTATTGGCAAGCCATGCTTGACTGCATTCGGTGCTGCTTTTGTTACTTCATCACAGCAGTCACAAGTAGGTTAGACCCCATCTGTTTACGATGCCGTCACCCTCCCAGCTTCACCCTCTTTCCCAGTCTCACCAGTACCTTTTTTGTCTTGGCTCTGCTCTTGGTTGTCCTCTGATGTAGTTTCCATGGCTGTAGTTTCCAGTGAAACACTCCTGTTTTACAAAGACACCTTTCTCTTTCACACACTCTGTGTTCTCTCCTTTCTCACTGGCTTTTCTCTCTCCTGCTTGCTCCCTCTATCGCTCTCTCCTGCTCTCTCTCTGTCTCTCACACGCGCACATACACATACGCACACGCTGACTGAGGAACACGCAGATCGCATTCATCACAACCCTTTCCTGAGATGCAAAGCTCCCATCACATCTGATGTTCTCGGACTTGCAGGCACATGAAGCACCCCCCGCCACCCATACATTAGCGCAAACCCCTCCAACTTGGGCGTATTTTTTCCCACCCCTATTTTCATAGTGGGAACAGAACAGAAACCCACCCCCCCCCATCCCTGTTGTGAAAAGGTGCCCTTCAATCCATCCACTCTCAGTGTCTCACAGGGGGACAGTCGCAAGTTGCCACTGAAGAATGACCGTATTACGTCACGAGAGGGAACGTGCATAAAGGAGACGAGGACCCCCCCCTTCCAGCTGGGGTGCTATTTGCATAAAAGGCCACTATGTACTGAAGGAGAATACATGTCAGCAGACAATGGCTGGCCCGCTCTTTCCCAGCGAATCGTGTTGGAGGAGGGAGGCCAGTGGAGGGGTTCTCTGTCTCCTGATTGGCACCATATGTCGCCCACTGCCACGCCATTCATTAGCTGTCCCCGGCTACCGTCTGCCTCTGGCTGGTAGCCTCCCTCGATGAGGATAAGCAGGGAGATCTCAGCATTCAGCATAGGGGTGGGATGGGGGGGGGGGGCTGAATAACGGAAAGAACAAAATGAAAAAAAAACACCTCATTTTGAGAATGGAGACTCTGGGTACATGCTAATGTGCTAATGAAGGTCTGTTTTTGGGGGGGGGGGGGTAGCTTTGACATGGGGGCTTCTTACGGATAGGAAACAACAGAGAAAAAACCCACTGGGCGTGGGGGAGGGGTGGGATGGGAATGTGAAGGGAGACCAGTGGCAGCAGAAACATTCCTCAGCACAGAGCGGCACCATCCCTGATTTTTATTTTTTATGCCCATGGGTAATGTTCTGATAGCATCCATAAAAATGATCATGTGATCTACACGGGTTCCCACATTTTCAAAATGTGGCAAACAGTAATTTGGTTAATGGCTGAAGGGCACCAATATCAGAAATAAAGAGAATTCAAACAGCCCATAACCACACAGTCAGGAACTGTCATGCATCTGTGACATTTAGTTTTCCCTTCATTGGGAATTTTCTTTATAAATGTGCATTTTACAGATTCATATTGCTAAAACCAGTGTTGCAAGTACATTACTTTTTATAAAAGTAATGCAATACTTGTGACTAGGGCTAAAGTTGTTATTCTTGAACATGTGTTAAGTACAGGATATACTCGAAAATGAATCGATAAATAAATCTGATAATAAACTGGGTAAACCTATATGGGAATTTTCCACACCTAAGAAATCCACATCTGTTTTTTCAAATAGATTTCATAATTCAAGGTATACACAAAAGGGACAATGACTAAAGGGGGTGTTTTTTATGAATAACCTTCCAAAAGGGGAGTTTTTATGAAGGAGTACATCTAAAAAAATTCCATGTTTATTTTAACCCCCCCCCCCATCAATATGCTGCTCAGAGCAAATCTAGCCTTACAGTATATCTCCTACTGGACATAGAAAGGAAGCAGAATGAAAGCTCTCTTCCTGCTCATCGAGATGTGAAGAATGGAAATATTATCCTATTGTAAAAGTTGCATCAAAGTCTTGTGGCTGGAGAGAGTGGGTTCTAGGTGGGGAGTCTGAGACCAACCCAATTTGGTTGTCTGATTATAGATTATGAATCAAAATCAGGCATGAGGCAGACATCTCCACAGTGGTGATGCAGGCAGAAGGAAGTGCCTGAGGTCTACACAGCTTTCCTTTGCAAGCTGTTACTCCTGTAAACATGGAAACAGCTGGACCATTGCAGGTGAGCATTCCAGGCATCACTGGTACCAGGACATTTGCCCATATCTGAGTCAGCCTAATCTGACAGACACAGATCCTCAGCAGGACTCAGCAAGTTTGGGTTATCCTGCACATCACAGTGTGTGTCAACCAACTTAGCTTCAGAAGCACGTGATTCCATCCGAGTGCTTGCAGCACTGGAAATAAATCAGTTATCTTCTGCTTGGACACAGCTCACTAGGCACAGAAAGAGTACATTGTCAGTCATGTTTTCATGTTTTCCTTTCGTTTTCCTGAGAAATGACCTGTCTAACTTGTGATTCTGTTCTGTAAAGAATTTGGTAAGTTTACATAAGACTACTTTTGAAACTTATGATTGGACAGAAGGAGTTTCCCAGTACATCTGACTGGACAGAAGAAGGGAGTGTCCTGATACTTCTGATTTGACAAAAGAGAGTGCCACTGGAACCATGGAAATCGTCACTGGTCTTCATGGCTGAGCGAACGGTCAGTATCTATTCAGCCCAGGGATCTGAGTAAAATGTGTGACTCACAATCTGCATTCCTCCCCTCTGATTGTGGGCTTCCTCTGTGAAGCATTACAGAATTAGCTTACACTGGATTCTCCAATCCTTCACCACTCTGTCTGTGTACTATCTGTAAATTACATTCCCTGCATTGTTTAATGCACGCTGAAAGGAGTCTAATGTCAGTCTACGGGTCAGTTGTCTGTCTTTCATGTCTCATCATGCCAAACTGACTTCACTGTTCACACAAGCAGAAATTACTCAACTTAAGAGAAAAGGGATTTGCACACTGAAACAAATGAGGTCAGGCATCCAGCATTATTTCTAAGATGCAATCTTCCTGATGTTGCATAACCTTTGCCTGCACCCATGCATAATCCATTCATGGGAGGGATTAAGAAAAAGTTCCAAATATTTGCGCTATAAATATTCAATCAGGAAAACATCTGTCTCATAGACAGAGCATAAACCACACATACACATCACATGTAGAAGATTTTCTCTCGACCTGTGCTTTGAAAACCACTCATCATCTTTGACAATCCACATTGTTTACCACATAGTAGCCTGGGGCTAAAGCACCACAAATTGATTTCTACCTCAATCCTAGATGAAGGAGTAGAAGATTTGTTGAGTAGAAGATCTGAATAAGCGATGCAGTCAGTAACTCATTGCTTCCAATTAAAACTAGGTCTTCTACAAGGATCTTGAGGAGTCTGGATCAATCATTGTGATTGATCCTTTCTAGCTGATGTAGGGACATGGCACTTTTGACTTTGGAGCATGATTGATTTAGTGAAAATGATTTAATGTGCAGTTCTCTTGGAGCCGACACCTTATTGTGGTGGAGGGGTTTGCGTGTTCCAATGATCCCAGTTGCCTGCGGCTTTATGCCCCTGGTAGGGTCACCCAAGGCAAACAGGTCCTGGGTGAGGAACCAGACGAAGTGCGGCTCATAAGACCCCTTGTGATGAGAAGCAACATGGATTCACGTTTTCCCGGCAGTCTAGAATACCCACCCTTTTTGGAGTCCTTGGAAGGGGTGTTGGAGAGCGCTTCAATGACTTCAATTGAGGACCTCAATGCTCACATGGGCAATAACAGTGAGACCTGGAGGGACATGATTGAGAGGGATGCCCCCCCCATCTGAGTGGTGTTTTGTTATTGGACTTCTGTGCTTGTCACCTCAATCCCACCAACACGCTTTCCAATGGGGAAGCAGGAGTCTGGGGACTTGGGGGTGGACTCCCCTATCTCTGGGGAGGAGGTCGCTGAAGTGGTTAAAGAGCTCCTTGGTGGCCAGGCCCTGGGGGTGGATGAGATCCGCTCGGAGTTCCTCAAGGCTCTGGATGTTGCAGGGCTGTCCTGGTTGACACGCATCTGTGACAGCATTGTGTGGACATCAGGGGCGGTGCCTCTGGACTGGCAGACCGGGGTGGTGGTCCCCCTCTTCAAGAAAGGGGACCGGAGGGTGTGTTCCAACTATAGGGGGATCACACTCCTCAGCCTGCCTGGTAAGGTCTATTCGGGGGTCCTGGAGAGGAGAGTCCGCCGGATTGTTGAACCTCAGATTCAGGAGGAGCAGTGTGGTTTTCGCCCTGGCCGTGGAATAGTGGACTAGCTCTATACTCTTGGCAGGGTCCTGGAGGGTGTGTGTGAGTTTGCCCAACCAGTCTACATCTACTTTGTGGACTTGGAGAAGGCATTTGACCATGTCCCTCGGGGAGTCCTGTGGGGAGTGCTCCGGGAGTATGGGGTGCCGGGCTTCCTTACAAGGGCTGTTTAGTCCCTGTATGACTGGTGTCAGAGCTTGGTCCGCATTGTCGGCAAGTCGGACTCATTTCCGGTGAGGGTTGGACTCCGCCAGGGCTGCCCTTTGACATCGATTCTGTTCATAACTTTTATGGACAGAATTTATAGGCACAGCCAGGGCATTGAGGGTGTCCAGTTTGGTGACCTCAGGATTAGGTCTCTGCTTTTTGCAAATGATGTAATTCTGTTCTTCATTGGACGGTGACCTTCGGCTCTCACTGGAGCAGTTCGCAGCCGAGTGTGAAGTGGCTGGAATGAAAATCAGCACTTCCAAATCCAAGATCATGGTCTTCAGCCGGAATAGGGTGTAGTGCTCTCTCCGGGTCGGGGAGGGAGTCCTTCCCCAAGTGGAGGAGTTTAAGCATCTTGGGGTCTTGTTCATGAGTGAGGGAAGGATGGAACGGGAGATCGATAGGCGGATTGGTGCGGCATCAGCAGTGATGCGGGCACTGCGTCAGTCTGTCATGGTGTAGAAGGAGCTGAGCCAAAAGGCAAAGCTCTCGATTTCCCAGTCGATCTACGTTCCTACCGTCGACTATGGTCATTAGCTGTGGGTAGTGGCCGAAAGAACGAGGTCACAAATAGAAGCGGCTGAAATGGGTTTCCTCCGCAGAGTGGCTGGGCTCTCCCTTAGAGATCAGGGGTACATTTCACTACATGTTGTACTTGTTATAACTATGTATGTGACGAATAAAGAATCTTCAATCTTGAATCTCGTGATGTCCCACTGGGAGGAAGCCCCGGGGAAAACCCAGGTCACGCTGGAGAGACTATGTCTCTCGGCTGGCTTTGGAACACCTCGGGATTCCCCCGAAGGAGCTGGACGAAGTGGCTGGTGAGAGGGAAGTCTGGGTTTCCCTGCTTAGACTGCTGCCCCCGCGAACCACCCGGAAAAGCGGTAGGAGATGGACGGATGGATTTCATGTGCAATATATTCTACATCTAGGATTAGATTATGGTTGCAGCTATCACAACCCAAATGGCTGCGATGGGTTGGCGCCCC